ACCACCGGAGACGAAGTTGCGGCAACCACTGGTCAAACTGGGGTACTCGTCCATCTCAGCTGTAAGGATGAGTCATAATTGGTTGATTGCTTTCACGTGAACAACCGTTTGCGCGCCGCCATTTTGATGGTAAAGGGTATAGAAGCGCAAGCAATTTCTTCGCGGTTCCCGCCTGTGTTCCAAGACTGAAGTTAAGATGCTGTAAAGAGGAGATTTTCCAGTTACCATTTCAGGTATTGTTGTAGTTGCAGTGTACAAAAATGCGCAATTAGGTTGTTTGAGCTCTTCAGAAGCTCAGCTAAGTGGTAAATCTCGGTTTAACTCCGACCGCATGGACAGCGGCGAGCTTTTGTCGCAAGCGTATGCGGATCACCAGTTGTCAGGTTTTAGCGCATCTTGGAGACATAATAATCTCGGAGTTGCCACTTGGGCAGCGATGGACCCAAATAGATCACATTGCCATAAGTTTCAGATGGCGTGATTGCATATCGGATTGTAGCTTGTTCTGGAATAACTAAGTATACACTGATAATGAGTTAGTACGCTGCCGTTTTGCGATGTACTATAACAGGAGGCGTATTATGTGATTCTCCCGATAGCAATTGATAGTATATATCAGTCCTTGGTCAGGTAAGTCTACCAGGATGCCCTGCGTCTGAAACATACGCACTCTTGCATTTAGGCACCGTCCTTTAGTGGAATGGGGTCTCGGCCGTTATGAAATACGCTGGACCCTCTGCTTGCGGTACTAGCAATCGTCACTGCATCAGTCAATGAATATACGCGAGATCGTTGAGCATGTTGGGATCCAGAAGAACTTTCCCGGCTGGCCTTGGGCATAATGTTGCCAAGCTAAAATGTGGGCGCGAAGTAAAGCAGAGCCTGCGTGCTGACAAGGGAACTTGTTTGGTTAGTGTGGCACAAAATTGAAGGTGGCATTAAATGCAGACCATTACAGCAAGCTCTCTCAACTGGTACAATACACTAATCCGAGGGAACCGGGCATCAGCGTGACAATCCTAGAGAATGCTGGTGCTGTTATTCAAAATAAGGGGCACCGGCAGATTCATTGGGTGAAGCACTTACAAGATCAGTTCAGTTGGCCCACTGATCTTGGACTTCTTTCTACTCCGGCTGCGCAGGTTGTGCCATACCGGGTTAGCTCAGAGGTTCCATTAGAGGCTGAGCTCCGAAACGCGATCTAAGCCCTTAATCCTTGTCAAGATGCACGATTTAATGATAGTGGTGTGGCCATGTGCGAAGCACCGCTCTTGATGTTCCAACAGGTCTGGGAGTAGGAGACCATCCCAACTAACCTAATTGAATCAATTACAGTGCAATGTACGAGAAGAATAGTTGTATTGACTGTACTAACCAGAAGGGTAGTAGTATAGTATCGATAGTGACAAGATTACAGGCTTCAATGCTCCTACGTCCCTTTAGTGCGGCAATAACACCCGGGAATATGGAAGAGCAATCAAGTTGCCGTTTAGAACAGGCTGCATAGATAAACACTTCACACTGCGACAGGTACCAGGCGTGCGCCATACGAACCGCAGACGAATAATATCTGTGTTCTTTGACTTCGAAAATGCCTTCCGCATAGTCGATCGATCTATTCTGTTTGACATGTTGCCAGGAACGGTTTTCTCATAAAATATTTGGATATTTTACATGCCGTGTATTCGGACACTATAGGCCTCGTCTAAATCTACAGCGGATTATCAAAAAGCTTTAAAAAAACAAATGGCCCTCAACAGGGTTTTCATTTTTCCTCAGAAGTCAGCTGTTGTCCTGTACAATGATAGGAACATTCATAGCGATTGAGAATAGGCTTAGCTGTGTCACGGTTAGCTTATAAGTTCAGTCGGTCTGCCTCCATCCCCACATGGCTCAGTGGCATAAGTAGCTGGATAGTTGGCGTAAGGTTAGCGGTCATACGCTCGATGTACGTAGGGGACCTAAGGTATGCGCTCCAATGACGGGCCCAAATGGGGTGAAACGATCGTTTGGTGCCTTTCTGGTTTGGGTTTATAGTAAAGTTTTTTGCGAGTAGATGGGACAAACCAAGAAAATGTCATCAATAATCCCTCAACTCTTCTGTAACTCCTCCTTTTTCTTCACCTTCGCCGTAGACTTCTTCATAGCGTGTGCCCTTACGGAATCTCACGGTGCAGACGCTGAGATGCTACTTGGTAAAAACTTAAATGATCTTGCTTAAGCAAGCGATATTGTCCAGTTTTTTTTAACCATTTCGAGGTGGCCCAGTCAACACTGGACAACTTCCTTAGACTTGTTTTATTATTTTTAAGGGTCTCTCACCTTACATATGCTACATATTGTGCAGGCCCACTAGCCACTTAACGTCCCTTTAACCCCTGGTAGTGAAGAACTCAAAGTAGTTAATTAATCCATGTACCTTGGCAGCTACATCAGTATCGATGGGCGTATAATGACAGATGTCAGTTCACGTAGTACTTGTCTCTGCGACATCAGTGGCCACAAAAGTACGTTTGAAAATCTGTGTGTACTGGGTTCCAGGGACGGCCTTCCTGCCCCATAGGTATGAGACTTAGGCACTTCGATTTGAGAATCTGTACCAACTTCAAGTTTTTGATTGTCGTTGCTTGTGAACCGTTGCTGATGCCCAGTGGAAAAAGCGTGTCTTCAACGATGACGCGAGTAGGCGGGTGCTAGGTTGTGCCAATCATGCTGGTTCCTCAGAACTACAGATGGCGCTGAGTAGATTGCGTTGTTTTTGGTACGCATAACTTTTATCCGCTCGCCGCTTACCCTGCAGGGCATTGAATTTTGCTAGATATAGGGTAGCGCAAGGCTCGGGGTGGGTAAACGCTAGTTTACAGCTGGAAATGAAGCAACTGACTACAAAAATGTTTGCTGTTGGTCCGTGTCGCTTTATGGGCTAGAGATCACGTGACTCGCCTTTTGCATGGCTCTGGAGGTTACGTGACATGGCTCCCAGTCGAAACCAGCGACATGTCCGCTGCTGTCGCTTAGTCGCTTGTTTACAATGTTTTTGGTGCTGCGCTGTCTGCATGATAATGGCTGATTATGACGCGGGGCAGTGAAAGCTACAAGTCAAGTTTGAGGCTGTTTGGTGGTGCAGTTCCCAACGCTGACTCCCGCTTCAACAGTTGATATATTAAACTTGAAACAATACTGAGAATTGTAGCATAACCCCTCTGCAAGTAAGCTGCTTTGCCGATGGCGTCTTATCATTACAAGATAGTTAGCAGTTATTGGCAGTAAGTTGTTGGCAAGATGTCGACACTTTGAGCCTGATTGCTTACTTAGGGCATTAAGCTGCTACGCTGGATATCCCTTTCTCCCTCTTCTTATTTTCGTTCCGAATATCACCATGGTTGTACGGAACCAGAGTAACAGTTCAGCTGGCCGATATACAGTTGTTGCTGATCAAGATGATAATGAATATTTATGCTACACGAAGAATAGTCAAGTAAGACTCATCATAGATTACTAGTAGGTTGCATCTTTTCACGGTCATCGGGCTTCACTGCTTGGCAGCATAGTTTGATTATAAGTTCGCCATAATTTCAAATCAGTATGGAGATAATGGAGTATGCTGATATCCGCTACTCTTTGTGGTACCCCGGCAAATTCATCTCGGTTGTTTGCCAGATTTCGTATACGAATATGACTGAGTATCTGAATCAATTTTCTGTTGTTATACAGAACAACATTTGTGAAAACAGCTCAAGCTTTTTAGAGTAAATAGTGGCCATTGCTTATAGGGCTTTAGGTGTTCGCTAGCTATAATAGCAGAAGCATTATTTACACGCTAACCTGTTTCATTGATTACAAGCGTCATAGTATTGTTGTGGCGAATTACTCGGAGTTTCCAAATAAATTTTCTGGGCTAACTTATTGTCCTTTTAAGATAATGAAAACTATTCTCGCTGTTTGTGTCTTTACTGCACATAAATTTCATGTATCATACATGATTGAGAACTGTAATCTACCTCCATCTGCCAGTTAAGTTCCACCTAGAGGTGCTGGTGCTGTATAGCTTGTTGACAAGTTTAAGTCTTCAGCTAAGTGTCTGAGTTCCAGCAAATGCTGGACACGAAGAAATATTGATATCGGCAGCCTAGAAGACTTTATTGCATTTAGTCCAGGTTACACATGCAATATTGACTATGGGTCCGCTGAAATTTAAAGAATACTAGTTGGCTCAACACTACTTGTTATCTTTTGTGTTTGTAAAACCGTTGACTACAATCGACGCTTGTCTGTTTGCTTACATTAACATCATGTTCCTCTTGACTGCCAAACATAAGGTCGCCTGATCGGTATTGTTGCGATGGTTAATGTAGAGTTTGGACTATGTCTACTGAGAAAATTCAAATGAATTGGAAATCAAGTGCTTTGGCTTGATGATTAAATTACAACATGCATTTCCTGAAACTGCATACTGCCTGTGATATTTCGTGACTTAGATAGACAAACGGTCACTTGATAGGACCAAAAAATAGGTTGGACCAATGAGGTATCTTTTCGCCAAATTAAAGGTAATTGACACTCAACATTTGATAGTCATGCATTACTTCTTTATTAACCGACACACTACTGGTACGCTTCGAAGTTTGAACAAAACCGTTCTGTATGCATGGATGTACAACCGTTTGGTTACTTCGATAAGTTCTAGCTGAGCAGTTTTGGAGGATTTCTGGTATTGTACATTATCTGTCCGTTTTACATTAAATTATTATAGCAATTTATCATTTTATTTTGTACTGTTTTACAGGGATTAACAACCTTTTGTTAAAGTTTGCAAACCTACTGCGGCTTAATAAATTACTGGTGGTGCACCGTGACTGTGCTTGAAAATAAAACTAGAAACTCCAGGGTCAATAAACTGCAGTTAAACGCAATTGTTTGATTTACTGGTCAATTTGTGTCTGCCTTAGTTTGACCTACCCCTGCTCATCTATCATCTTTCCCTGTCAAATCATTTCCAGTTGGCTCGCGCAATGCGGTGTCCTGCTGCCAAATTTGCCACCCACGTGATTTCACACTTTTTGTTTCTGATTTTGCTGGCCGCTGCAACTTTTCGATTAGAAGAGAACTACGACGAAATGTTGGATGAGCAAATGATCGGTTCCAGTGACGAGGCTACAATACGACAATGGGTGGCGAAGAATTTTCGACCATCTAAGGCGATCATCACTCATGTACAGATTTGCATCGTGCTTTGGGTTGCTGGTGAGTTGATATGTCGGTTGAGTCCAGAGTATGAACCATAAAGGCACAGATAATTTAAGAACTTGCAAATTTCCCACAGTATCTCAGTGTAAATTAAGATACAGAATACTTAAAATGTGCGAAAACCTTTTATTTTATTCAAAAACAGTAAACGCTCAAGTCAACAGGTAGATTAAAGTTTAAGTATTTTGTGGGAACTACTACCAATCTACGTATCTCATCTAATATTCTGCAAAATAGGGTCAAAACTAGAAGTCAAATAACAAAAAATTGCGATGTGAATAATGGATACGAATCTTTTGTAAACCGAGAAATTTTACAGTCGTACAACCTGAACGGTGTTATCTTGGGGTAGGTGAGTAGAAAGGAGAAAATTGGGATAGTTTAGCTGTTGCTTAGCTCATTCACTGGGTCGTTAAAACTGGTGTAATGTCAAGCAATGGATACAGGAAAATAAAAGGGGTTTTAGTGATATTTCTACTGTCTAATGAGAGCTTTTTTAAGGGTAGCTGGCCTACATGTAGCCGAGTGGTCAAAGTGGGACTTTTCAGTACAATCATGGTTATGGCGTATGATAAAGTTAGATGATTGTGTTCATGGTGCTAGTATTCAGATGTAGTGTTATAAATAAAGTCGTCAGCAAAATATTGTGGTACCAAAAGCGGTGCATTTTCAGTAGTTTACATCGTAAACTATGGGTGTACTGAACGCGTACAATCAAAAGTGCTAAAGTTTACAAATCAGTAGAAAATAAAAATGGTACCCTGTCATAACTCGATGGAGCAACAAAGGCATAATGCCATACGAAATCTTTGCGATATACGTTCATACAAAAGGAAAGGTTTCACTAAAACCTTTCTTCATCCCACGTTTCAGATGAGGGAAACTTTTGTGCCCAAAGGGGATGGTGCGTGATATCTCAGCATTTATGTGCAAAAAGTGGATATGGTGAAGTGGTCTCGGTGACCTTGGAACTTGATCGAACAAAATATCTGCCAGCTTATTCTTGCAAAACTAATATATCTATAGTAGATAATATAAGGAATGATGTTTTCTAAAACGGCAATCGCCGATTTAAAGGCCCTGCCTTGGATAAAGCAACTTTAAATGATGCTTTGTTAGCCTCGAGGCTGACTGCCTGGAGATAGCGTGGGTACGCTGGGCACTGAAGTACATAAAATATAAAGTGAATGCAGGCATTTAATACTTTCGATGTACAAACGAATCGAATCATCTGTCACAAAGTGGTATATACCAGTTTCTACTTATTAAAAGAAAACCTTTCATCCGCATTTTGCCAACCAAATTAACACCAAATTGCCGAGGTTAAAATCCCACTCACACTTGTTTAGGCATTACCACGCAAGTATATTGGCTGCGTGTGGCAATACAAGTAACGAATCCTAGTAACAAAACGCGAAACCGAATATTGATACCTGGAAGCGTGCTGAGGACCAACAATAATGGACTTGTCTACAATAACTTCATGTCCACCTATTCATTCGGCTGTTCCTATGCAGTTTTATACATTGCTCGTAAGACTAGGTGCCTAACCTAGAGAGCGAAAGAACAATGTCCCACATGGCTAACGGGTGGAACCAGAAGAGTATGTAACTCTTCTATAGCTGCCCAACACGCCAAAACATCGCACAACAAAAAAGCAGCCGAAGCATTCAAAATTATCTACAAGACCCGTGATTGTCTATCGTGGTTTACGAGCCAACGGATACTAAAAGACTTTAAAGCTATCGCCTGTCGGCTACACAAACCTAATCTGTGCTTTCAGAAGCGATTTATTCAGGTAGTAAAGTTGCCCTGGCCTGTTCGAATTGTGACCTTTACTCACTTGTATAGCGAACAGATCGACATTTACCTGATTAATACAGATGATTGACTATTGTTAAACAATGGTGTTTTTTTTAACATACTCAGTTGTCTGTCTTGTGGTTTTGATTGGCATTTGATTTTAATAATCTGAAGAATTTTCGAAAACATACGTTCGCTAAAATTGCCTTTTAAATATTTGAAATCCTGAGTATAGAAAAATAATCGCTCTAAGAGCTTCCAGATGCCATGGTATACATAGTGTTTGTGAGATCAAGCACTCCCAGGCACAACTCTTTACTCAGAAGCGTTCGTTACTTGCAAGACAGCTGGGTATGAGTTTTGCTACATCGTATGGAACTTGCAAATCAAAACGGTATGCCACCGTCACCAGTGGCTCCGTGCCATGAGTCATATATTGGTGGCATAAACCGCGATTGACAGTTAGCTTGAATTCTGATAAATTCGAGGCAGTCGCACTACTGATCCATTTTGATAGGACGTAATGGTCTCGCGGAAGTGTAGAAAACTACCTTGCTTGGTAGCTACTGCGTATAAACATAAAAATAACACATTCGATAATAGCGGAATTACTAATTATTTAAGTAATAGCTCCTTGCTAAACTCAAACGAATTTAAGAAAAAAGACAAACCGCGACAAAGAGGAGGAGGAGGAAGGAGGACGTAATGTTGGATGGCTCAGGGTGTGCTGATGTCCATGAAACAGTAAATTAACCACAAATATGAATCAATGGTCATTATGGTGTGACCATTGAGTGAAGGGATTGCGACGCGTAATCTCGATGTAGACCATGATTCGTAATGAAGTGAAACTTTGTCACTTCGATCACTAGGATGGTAGCTAAAGCAGGTGCGAATGTGAATCACAGTCACTTTGAGACTGCGTGTCGCAACTCAATCACACAACGATTACCTCAGAAGGACAACGCAATCTGTCTTTAACCGTTGTTTCAACGTTGTCCGTCCTGATCTGGTGGCCAAAGCAGTAGATGTCCCGAATAGAATTTCAATGTTCTAGGGTTCGAGGCCTGCTATCTTCACTTGATTAGATCAAATAAGGTAGAAAGGCACCAAAGAGTGCAGCTTTTCGGGCCAAAAATAACCAATTTTCACTGCCTATGCAAACTATTTATTGCCTAACTCCAATTGTAATTTAAGATGAGATTATCTCGATCAACTCGTTCTTCCAATCCTCTACGCGTTGTGTTGGCACATGCCTAGAATTTTTATGCTTAGTGCAGCTGGTAGCTTGATTATTCATCGCTTATTTTTAACCCTCAACTATTGTTATATTGAGATCGCCTTCCCTGCTCAGCTAGGTTTAGACGGTCAATTGATCCGGTCACCAAAGTGCGATATTTTAAATCGGCTTGGCCTGACTCCAGAACAATTAATCGTACAATAATTGTACCAACAAGGATAACGTCTCGTAGTAACTAAAAATGTAACTGGCTTGTTAGACAGAATATTTATGCATCAGCAATAGGAAAACTAGCTCAAGCATGACGTTGGATTCATGACCTCCCGAGACATCCACTAAGCTATAAACTTCACTTATGCCGCTTTTGTGGGGAATGCCGAATGAGTATCCCAGCATTGTAAGCTTTTCTACTAACCAGCGAGATTACAGACCAAAATCTGTAGGACTAACTGTGACCTTAAAACCCAAACGAACCTTCATACCGTTTGTGGTAATCTGCTCAATGAAGCATCCTTAAAGCTGACGCAGCTACCTGAGTATGTACAGCTGCCATCTGCTTCGATATGTTGTTAAGTAATAGTTATAAATGGCGAAGCCTCAACCTAATCGTGCAAATGTATTTGTACACTGTGAGTGTAGATCATGTGCCAAAACTCGCGGGGCTTCGCGTTAGACTCTCTTGTAGCAGTGTAACGTTTGGTTTAACGGAAAAAAGCGCTACGTCGTCTATATTCACTAGGATTACCAACCAGAAAAAATAATGTTTAATCCAAAGAGGGCGAGGCTTTCAAGAGATATTCGTTTTTGAATACTTAGACCACAAAGTTCAGCAGAAAAGAAGTGATATGGCATATCTGACCTACTCCACATATGTTGGAAAGCGCGCGCGAGAGAGAGATCCCACTTACAATCTACACATCCAAGGAAATTACTGTGTGGAGACTCAATAGCAGCAAGGAATATTTTAGGGACACTTCTCAAAAACAAACGCTTGTATGAAAAATGCGATCAAAAAGCGGAGGTAGTCTCCGATTCAAGTAAGATTGCCATGCTACGCTTTCTGTAAATTTGACGATAATAGAGAATAGCTTAAAGACGCCATGTGGTCTAAGGCAAACACACTTATGGGACAAACAACTCTAACTGGCTGGTCTGGCGCGAGGACCAATAAACCAGTGCGGATTGATGTAAATCAGTTATTTTAGGCCTTGAAATCAGACCGATATCTCCATGAGTGGCGGAGGATTTCCTTCTGCGCTTCTTAAATATATAATGCTTGTTGCCAGCTGTGCATCAGGTGAAAATTGTTTAATGCAAGTAATTTAGCTCACGGAGTATCGACTAAATTATGAATCTTGTTTCACTCCCGAAGCCGAAGTTTACCTATGGTGGGACTTACAGTGTCAACTTCCCAAGTGCTTTCGTGTGACCCGGCTGAGAATACTGACACACCGGAAGGGGTGAAATGCTCCTTGCCGTGCTGAGCCAAGCGCTCTAACTAATTTGAATACTTATGAATCAGATGTTCACTCTTCCAATTGCCTCAGGATTACTGTCTTAGAGCAAGTTAAAACAATGCTATGCTACGGATGGCTATTGGATGTTGCCCACTCAGAAACATTGCATTCCATGAGCAGTTTTGAACTTATTTGAGCTCACAAGCTAACGATAGGAAGCATTCCAATCAGAGGTCATTAGAATGTCAGCCGGAGACTTAGATCCTAGGTCAGCGAGTCATTACCTGTTACAACAAGCGTCGCCGTCGCGACTCGGTGGCATAGGGGTACAGCTTCTGGCTAACGTGCTAAAGGGTTTGATGCCTGATATATCCACCTAATGAAATCAGGTGCGCAGGGGTTCCGGGCGGGCAACACCCAAGATACATCTAGTTCCTCGTTCTTGGTCCCGGTGTTCATAGTGATCGAGGTCCACTTTAATGCGATTCACGATGCATGTTAAGAGGTGTCGCAACCCGTTCACACAACGTACGCTTCAAAAGGATTCAGATAATCTATACTCTGGTATTCTTTATTCTGCTAAGCTTCTCTCTTTTATGCTCGCACCGGGACATATCGTAGACTAATCACCAACTAGCGTTTCCGTACTGATTTCCCTCAGTTGTCCAATTGGTCAAATCCAGCCCACGGAACTTCACCTACAATCCTCACTCGCCATGGTTAAAGTACGAATTATAGAGTACTTTAAGCAGGGCACACAGTAGTTCACTTCCGACCACAACGCTTTTGTCTGTTTCATGCCTCAGTGATAAATAATGTTGCCATTCATGTTGGCGTTGATGCCTTTCACATTGCGACCACATCTTACCAGAATGCACAAACGGGGATGAACACGTAAAAGAAGCGGAAAGAATGAGTGCATGTGCGCACGCACAAGAAGGTAGTCATAGTTCGGACAAGGGGAAAAATCGCTAAACACTACAAAGATTGACCTCATTCATATCTGACTTTGATAGTCACATTACCTCAGCGCCCATTTGTCGTTTGATAGCTGCCGTGTAACTCAGTGAGATCGATTTTGCTGGGTTTCTCTCTTACTGATGAAAAAGATCTGATCCATGCATAGCTGAAGCGAATCGTTACAATTATTATTGGTACGAGCAGAAACCTGGAAAAGTTATTCAAGACAATGTTTTGACTATGGTATGCAACTAGATTGCGCACGTATTCTTGCAACGATCACGATGTTTTTGCCTTTGGTCATTTGGATAAAGGGAAGGGGGCTACTGATAAAAATGCACCTTTGACTGTTTTTGAGCAATAGTCGATGGGACTGTAAGCTAAACAACAAGAAGGCGCTTACCTATCGACCCCTACCACGTTAGCCCAAATGGATGATGGAGGTTTAAGGTGCATCATTCATCCACAAGAAAAGTGGATTTTCCCATTGCCACTGTGACCGTATCTGATACCCTAGATACCGCAATGCTTTTCATTGCGCTCAACTGGTATGCGAAGCGAGCAAACCGCGTCATCAGTACCCAAGCATGGTGGTGGGAAACAATTTAGTACGCTGTTTTCTGTTACGTTTGTTTTGGAAACAGAATTAAGCCTTTTCCGGACATTGTGTAATAATAGTATTCGTCTATTTATGGCCTGCCTAATCCAGAGTAAAAGTGCTGAACTTTTTACTGTAGGATAAGAAATCACGGTCGAACTTTGATGTTAGATCTGTACTACTGAGTTTTGTGAAGCCACTAGAAAATTCTTGCAGTCAAAGTATTGGGAAGATTTGAGGATAGCTAAAGTTGAAAAGAGAGAGGTTACTTGCTACAGTATTTTATGAGAAGGTGAAGTTTTCCGTCTTCAGCTTTCGAGAGCGGTTTTAGTTGACAGGATGCAGCCCAAGTTGCTAATTCAACAGTTTTGGTCACAGGCTAAAGAGTGAAGAGAATACACTCGTGAGGATCTGGATTTGCAGCGGTCAAGTCTATAACCAGTCCCACAATTATTCTCAACGATTTATAGTTACCCATTGCTGGTGTAGGTCCCCACTGCGATCAGTTCGGGAACGAGCACACACCCGCTCATAGATTTCTTACATCGAAGTAAGACGAATAACAATACGTTTTAATTGGCATAATGCCTGTAAAGAATATTTTGCATATGTCATTTTCGAGCTCTACCGACTAAGCTTCTTTCTAATTCCAAGTATCACTAAGGACTTTGCATTTCCTGTAACTAACGTTTTAGCTTTTGACGGGCATAGTCATATCAAATATGCTAATGTTTCACAGAGGTTCTCCAACGCGGAGTTACTATTCTTAACTATTCATCTGCCGTTTGAACAGTACAGAACTAAATAACCCAGCTGACAAATTAGCCACTGTTCTAACCTTCATGGACTTGGTGGATCAACCATCTAGTTACTAGATTTAGACGGGTTTGTTTGTTATGGCATTCGGTTCGCCAATTTCCTATATGGTTACATGGCAACAGGCAACCCCATAACAGACCGCCTGTTTTCAATTGAGCCATGATTGCACTGGTACCAAGTGTCATAAAACAAGACTAAGCTGTCAGATATGACAAATCTGTGCAAACGAACTTAACTTCTATGTATTTAATGGGTTAAGCAAATTTAGGGTCTAAAACGTGTAAAGGGTTGACGCCGGATGAGTTGTGGCCATTAAAGTTGTGTTCATAATGAGTTGCCTCCTTTTAGTCCTAGTAAACTGAGTGTTCAGGGCATAATACTGGTGGCAAATATAATCTGGCGGATTTACATCTATTTGTCATAGACAGGCATTTATAATAATTACGCTTCCTTGAAAGTACTCATTATGCAGCGCCAACAGAATGTAATGGTAGATAACTCATTAGATTCTTGCAAGGAACTTTAATTAGAAGCCGTTTGTTTCGTTCGGTACGTCTATTCAATGCTTCCTGACTGCAGCTTAATTATCGGAACAATATCCATTAGTAATATGACATGATGTTCTTACAGCAAAGTGAATTTCTCCGTGCTTATGCATCTTAAGAGCGTAGGCAACAGTATTCTTCTAGACCTGTAAACGTATTGAAAAAAGTAATCAAAGAAATCAAAGCACAATTACAAATATATAAAAAAGATAAAAAAATAGCGTAAGTATCTGCAAGTAAGTATCTTGCATAAACGTTGTTATAAGAAAATCACATGCTACTAAGTTCTGTTAATATGAATAAAGTCACTTTAAGCAGACTTACAAGATATCAAAATTGCTTCGAAGCAATCTGAATCGCTTTATTGTGCAGTATTATTATATTATACGCTCAATCATAAGTACCAGGTAAAGTAACGTTTATGTTGCTCGTAATTCTTTTTATTCTAATGGCTGACTAATCAAGGCAATATTTTACTCGGTGTTGACACAATCTAGTTATCTCAAGTCTATGAAGTGATTACTTCAATGAACAGATTTCTAGCAGCTCAACATTTGCAGAAGGAAAACTACTAAGCAACATCCTCACTAGACGGCTCGCCGTACATCAGCGAAAGTTTCCAATAATGCAATGTGCCAATTTAAATGTCACGTGGAGGTTTCGATATCAGTGGATTACATAGCATATCAAACATTCAAACACCAGGAGGTAACATGAATATTCAGATACGGTCCTCCGAAAGAAAGTGTACCATACATCAAGCGAAGAAGCTATTCAAAAAACCAGGAACCATGCCATCAAGCACAGTGACATGCAACCAACAGAAGTATTGGCCTGTATAAAAGAAAAGATATCAAACAACCGCTGCACGCAAGCTGTCATCCAACTTCCCCGGTGTCGGAACTCAGTGCACAATGTTTGGTCTAAAGACGAATGGAGGCAATTTCGTTCTAATCTAAATGGCCGAAGAATAAGAAAACGAAACTAACCGGGGATAGAACGTGCCCCGAGTGTAGTAATTTTATGTATATTTTGTATATTCGCTTATTTCTTCATTCGGCGGGGAACCAAAATGTAGCATATAAAAGAAACGCTTTAAAAACCTACGGTTCATCGCGGTTTCTGTAAATCGCATCTGCTCAAACCCGTGGATAGTTGTTCTCTCACTTTCCGTCCTAGGGATCGAAACTAAACTAAAAAGCACATTTGGCATTGGCTTTCAATGAAGAGTTGTCCAACGAAATGAGATAAATTAGCATAATAAATGTGTCGTTTTAATTTAAAAAAAGGAGAGCAAATAAAGCATTCAACACTAGCCGAGATAAAAGCAAATCCGTAGAGGCACATGACGTATTTGGCGGTTTATTGCTAACCTCGAACGAATAGTCAGTCACGCAAAAGCACTTTCGATTCCGATTAGGTTATTAATGATTCAGTCAACAGATACCGAAACTGTGCACATCCAATCATCAAATACACACAAACGGTGTGCGACTAATCGAGTACATTGGTCACAACTTAATGTCAAACAACTTCCGTGTAAAGAAGGTTGGAAGTAGGCGGATTACCGCGGTCACATCACTAACTACTAGTAGTACGTACTTTTCACAAGCATGGTGACCGGATACTCTTGCTTGGTTGATTAATTATTCATAGTAGGTCGATAGTGAGCCATAAAGCTTAATATTCTACAGTCAAGTGTACAAGTTTTTGGACTAAAATAACATTCGTATAGAGCATGAGCAACACAGTTCGCAACAAGTGGAACAGTAGGAATTCGGACGTATGTTTAAAATTACGAGTTTGTTTTCATTAATACTACCGTTGCACTGCACTTTTGATCAAGAAGACTATTCATAAAACACCTGAAACAACATTTAGAGTACTGAGTGTTAAACAAAAATCTCTCTTTTCCTTTTACCTTTTCTTTAGGTCTACTCCTGGCCGATGTAAAACATATTTATTTCGCCGGTTTCAGGTCATACATTTTTAATTCTTACAATATCCTCAACTTCTGCATTTTATCTATGTACATCGGCTCCTACACCCTGAGAATAATTGTGGATCGTTGGGTTAGAGAATCGGATTTATTTTTCAACGCCACTTCTCAAATTGATCACTTGCTCAAGAACAACAACAGTTTATTGGTTCATTACATGGTACAAAACTGGACGCAGTCGGTGCATTATGATAAAAGTTACTTCATAACTGCATGTGAGTTCCTGTTTGACGTGAATATGATTCATAATGGTAGCCAATTTTGATATGAATTTTTAAAACCAAGCACAGTAGATTTGCTTTTCATATATATTATCCCACACGAACTTTGGCATTCCTCACTGCACCCATAATTCCCTGAAAATAATTCACATGGGTGGCGGACCAAGATCAAGGCTCAGCTTAAATATGGAGTTGCCCCACCGGTCGGTTTTATGTTCCTTGCCACTCTACACTTTTACTAGGGGCGAACACCACCTTAGTTTTCTTTTGCCCCAGCACAAAGTACATATATGGTTTTAAAAAGACTAAGAAAAACAGTAAATAAAAGCGTCTTGAAAGCATTAATATGCTTCATTCTATGTCATGCATTAACAACGAGATCCCAGATGGAGGCCGATGCTAAGTGGGTGGGGGATGGACATAGTAACTCACGGCGCACGTGTTATTAAAGTCGGCTGCATGCAAGGTAAAAAGTGTAGACAATCAAAAGATTTCATGGTATGTCCGACTACAAATAGGAAGTGTAAAGCATCCAATCGAGACTAACTTCTAAGTGAAGGATATCATTCCTCTTGATCACGTCACAAGCTCGCCTCTCCTACACTTATTCTATTCATTACCCTGTCGTCTAAACAGCGCCTGTCGTGGAATTTGGTGGACTGGCATGCGTAACACTTGACTAAACCATCAAAGCATAGTGTTTGAACTAATGATATTAAGCGATTCACTTCAATTTTCTGTGTTTAAACAAGGCGACACAAAAACTCATGACAAGCACGATGCTCCCAGGAGGAATGAGCTAATCTGCGAGGAAACAGATGACTGCATATAACAAACATCTTCACGGATGCCAATCTGATGAGCAGTGGTTTCAACTCCGTATAGTAAGGCAGAAAGGCCAATGTATCGTAGCCACTACTCTTCAAGGGAGGGCAATGTTTCGCCGGTGCCCCAGGTGTTGAAGGCTGATAAAAGGATGTCGATGTTTAGTTATGTGGTTCGTAACTTTAGCTTCTATTTCCCTGAAAATGATACAGCTGCTAATTTAGTTGCATTTCTGAAAAGCTTCTAGCTGATCACCAATAAGCGTCAGCGCATAAGTTCCTGCGAATCTTAAAGTAAATCCTTGCGTTTACATTATGCAGAGCAAAGCAGGTTATTCTGTCCCTCATTGCTTGGCCCATTTGTGAGCTGTCGAAGATTAGGGTACTATCGTTAATATAATCCAAGTCAAGTGGTAAATCATCGAGAAGCAGATCCACGCTTTATTAGTCGTGTCCAGTAAACGCAGTTTTCATAAATACCCCAATAGTAGATGTTTGTGAGTGGTGTAAAGTTTGTACATAGTAGAAGGCACGATTAAAATTCACGCACAATAATGTGCCTCGACGGGGAATCGAACACCGGTCCACGAATTGCCGGTCCGCTGCTCTACCATTGAGCTACCGAGGGCTGACGATTAGATGTGCAAATTTTGATACCTGACTTCTGCTTGGTGCGCGACGTATTGACGACGAGCTCATAGTACTGTCCTGGTGTTGCGGTTTGGCGCACTCACCCGTCGCGCACCAAGCAGAAGTCAGGAATTAAAATTTGCGCACCTAATCGTCAGCCCTCGGTAGCTCAGTGGTAGAGCAGCGGCCTGGAAATTCGTGGACCGGTGTTCGATTCCCCGTCGAGGCATATTATTGTGCGTGAATTTAGTCGTGCCTTCTACTTTCTACAAACTTTACACCACTCACAAACATCTACAATTAATCTACCATCGCCCTTTGGACATTAGAAGGACAAATACTTCGGCCCATTGGGAAGTGACGGGGGAGTGAGGCAATCTGCAAACCAGGACGGATACTGTGAGTTCGTTGGCAATACGTCGCGCACCAAGCAGAAGTCAGGTATTAAAATTTGCGCACCTAATTGTCAGCCCTCGATAGCTCAGTGGTGGAGCAGCGGACCGGAAATTCGTGGACCGGGGTTCGATTCCCCGTCGAGGCACATTATTGTGCGTGAATCTTAATCGTGACTTCTACTCTCTACAATACCCCAATAATTAAAGAACGAAGGCAAGATGCATGCTAACAGTCCTATTTCATCTTGTTAGAGATAATGAAGTGCGGCAACATTTTACCACCAGCGCTCCCTTTACTACAACTATGCCCATAACAAGCTGTTACGAGTTTCACGGGTTTTTTGGGCACACCTTCCATAGGCCAATTGGTACAAAGAGCACATCGTTCCACTGAATCGAAGGTAAGCTTGATGTCGAAAAACACGTAAAAGTTGGCTTGCAACTGTAAGTGGTAGCTCTCCAACAACTGACATAAGTTAAAGTTATAGTCAATGCATTCCCGGCATCAGTGGAATTTGATGTTCATGAGTATTATACGATCTGGAAAGAGGAACAGAAGCAAGGGCCTTGGATGCGATTGAATTTAGACAGCTCCCTCTCTGGCTACCGCATTGTAAAAGTTAAGATTCCTTGAAAAACGAGACAATAAGGTAACAGTTCCAGCCAGTTTGGACAGTTTGCTACCCCCAAACCTTCCTTAGCACATGGTGTAACTCATCGAAATACTAGGTCCAACGAAATTACTGCGAGCTGAATACTGTTTACCTGCTTCCGAGCTTTATTTAAATTAAGAAGTTCAACCTCATCGTTTGGGTTCCTAGCAAGTAGACGGATCCAAGTTGCACGGCATGTAGTGACAGATAATGAGATTAAAAATCCCGACCTATTGAATTGCTTTTCAGATTTCACAACTAAAAGCCTCAGGCAGTTAACAACTTATTGATAAGCTGTTCACTGTCGTTGAATATAGTCTCGATGACAATAGGTCTCCTGCCGCCCATTTCCCTTATCAAACGGAATAATTTCCAGTGGTTTCTAACGTCAGTGGCCAGTTATAACTTCGACGTTAGATGAGTACAACTGCATTGCAGCCTCCCTTCGGGCAAACACACAGTATTTCCCTGATTTTTTCTGATCCCGTCGTCTTAAATCCCAGCCGAAATGAGTCATACAGCATTCAGAACTTCAGAAGACTGCGTAAAAACTCACATTTTAAGCTGACAATCAGAATTGCCACATAGCGACATGGATACTATTAATAAGATAAGGCGAACATGTGATCAGTAGCCATCAATTGTTCAGTTAGTGCTTCCTAAGCCCGGATGTAAATTCACTGCAGTAAGTGTTCGGAACATCTGGTTTCGCCAGTTGGCATGTATCCTTACATTCGCAGTGTTTCCGTGGGCCTCTACAGAAACGCACCGGGATGCCGTCACCTAAAATACATGCTCGGTGTCCACACTTGTGCTCAAGATCGAGTGACGGTTTCGCATGCAGTCTCTTCCAAGGTAAATGTTATCGATATGATAGACTTGTGTCCACGGCTATTCTGTGACTGGTAGTCGTCATATAACGTGCCAACGGGGGTTGTGTAAGAAATTGATGCTCGCGAGAGCAACAACCACATATTGTTTTTACGCGAGTCTACACCGTGTTGATCGCCTAAATGTAGGTCACCAGTGCAAAATCCTCCAACTTGAGCATTCAAAGCATCAGACAGCACTAGATTATTCGTACTTTTCCTGTGATAACAAACTGTCTCAGCTGGCGATAGAAGTCGTCCTTTATGGAGACAGTGCTACTGTTTGTGAAGTCGTAGGCGGCAATCAACAGTAAACAGTTTTTGGCTTCACGCGACTTCTAAGCTTCGAACGAGCCAGGCAACTTGACCGCATTCATCTGACCTCTTATTAGGATCTAATCAATCAGGTCAGCACCAATCTAGGGGCACCGATCAATGACTACTCACAAATAGGCGACAAATGAATCTGTGTTCCCTTCGGATGCGTGCAGGTAGTACTGCCATTGTCACATGATGATGACCGTACATTAAGCACACAACTCGAGTAATGTGAACAGGTTTTCGACAGACATCACATTCTGATCAATAGAGTCTGTAATTTACGAAAGAGAGCATTCTGTTGAGCTCTATGTAGCTGCTTGCATACACCTTGAGACGTGTCGGTCTTAGTGAAACCTAAATGTTTCAAATAAAATCGGATGAACTGATATTGTACACTGGTTTGGACAAGGAACTGCCGACTGAGTAGAAGTGAAACTCCAGGAATGCTTGCGACTTCAAACAATAAGATAAACGCTTATCCTATAAAGTATGGACAAGAATTGTGCGGTACAAAAATTAGATGAGTTTGAAGTTGACATAAGACAATAAGGTTGAATAAGCGTAAAAAGGGGAATAAAGATAAAGTCTTGAACATCAGTGCCCTTACCGCTATCCAACCTACTTGAGTTGACAGATAAAGCATTGATAATTACCTACTGCTAGAGCATCAAGGCATCTTGAAGCGGTTGTCACTGTGTTTCGCGGGCAGGATGTTCTCGGTTTCCCACGTCTAGAAAGCAGAGCGCTAAATACCATCACACAACACATGAAGTTAACAAGTTGACCAAAATGCAGCGGGTGTGGCGATGAGCTACAGATAGTCTGATTTAGGAGACAATGAGTTACTCTCATCCCAACACCCAACCTTTGAGACTGTGAGACAATTTTTCTAGCCTCCAACCACTGTACCATGTAGTATGTATAACCTAAAGATGTAGGAAGCTACTCCCAAATAAGTCAAATGGATCTTTGAGGTACTCAAAGCATCGACAAGCTCCACCATAAATGTAATGATTGGGTTGATAAACAAACTAACGTAAAATACTCAGCGTTTATTTTATGATAAGTTATGAAGTTGTTTTTCACGTTGCTTACTCTAAACATCTTTAATAACCACATGTTAGACGTTGCTTAGTAATATGACTGCACAGTTTTACTCGTCACGCAAAGAGTTCGGAACTGATACTCGGAACCGGAAAGCAGAGCCTACCAGTTAAGGTGCTTACCACTACGCCATCGTGATTGATTGTTAGAAGCAAATAACACTATGTAAGGTTCAAACAGTCCACCTCGTTTACATTC